ACCAGCACCTGTATACTCATGGGTTTTTGAAAGCTGCCTTAATCTTGTTTCTAAAAAACATTTTAAATCTTGAGAATTTCTTGCCACAAAAGTTATATTTAAAAAAATCTCCTGTATTTGTATACAGTGATGCTTGGAACCAAACATTCTCAAAAAAACATATAAAAGCTAAATCCCTAATCGTTGCTTATTAACAATAAACAGTGTGTCTTTTTACAACAGCCGTTTTAATATGATGCATTAACCTGCATTTCACCTGGGGAAAAGTGTTGCTGTTGAGAGTTATACAGGCACATCAGGGAAGAGAAAATGTCTGCTGTGAGTAAAGTCTGAGGCTGGTGGAAAGGTATATTTCTGATAATTGGTTTAGTCACAAAGCAAATCAGATTAATCATTATGGTTTTTTTAACCTAATAGTATTCATAAAGAGCTAAATTATGATTCATGTTTGAAAAAAACATAAATGTCAGCTCCTAATTTTGTTATATATTTTATATATGCAGTGACAAATTAGAGGATCAGCAGCAATATTTTAAATCAAGCCCTGAACACAGTGATTACATCAACTTGTCTTGTAGAAATTATCCAAAAGTTTGGTTTTGGTCTTGCACAAATTCTAATAGTTGGAATTGGAGTAGAAAAAAAAGGCTGTGGAAAACTGCTGATAAGTCGTGGTCTCAAATATAGATTTACTAAAGTTTCATTTCAATTGCAAATCACAGGTTTATTATATTTATTCAAAAGCTATAGGGTCAACAATTAAATTACAGTGCTTTAACTGAAGGAATGTATAGGGTTGCCTGAGGAATGATCACAGAAATCTTCATATTTCCACTGTTACTAAATTAAAATATGTGACATATGGTTTTGTGTGTGTGAACTGTACATAAACAACTAAAAACCATTGATGGGTCATTCTCATCAACATGCAGAAATTGCAGCCTAACAAATAAATAGGCTACCAGTTTCCACAACCATCCCTTCCAGTTTTGATGGTGAAACATACTGACAGAGGGCATTTTAACATGGGTTACTTAATATTTAACTTTATAGAAAAATAAAATAATATAATGATGATGTGTCAAATTATTTTCTCATTAAAATCAAATATGTCCAGTTTGTCAAGATGATATTTTATACTATTCCAATCTTTGTAAACATTAACTGCTAATGGGTAATTAATCAAGGCTAAAGATGGCAATTAGTTCAGCTACTGTCAGATCAAATCCCAGTTTGGGACATTTCTGGAGTTTGGGTGTGCGCTCCGTGTATGTGTGGGTTTTCTCTGGGTACTCCATTTTCTTCCCAAACATGTTAGTCTAAATGGCGCCTCTAAATTGTTCCTAGGTGTGAGTGAGAGAGTGAGTGATTGTTTGTCCATGATGGACTTGTGACCTGTCCAGAATAAACCCCGCCCCTCACACAGTGATTGATATATAAGGGCACCAATGACCCTTGTGATTCAGAAAGAAAGAAACCAGTAAAAGATAAGGGATGGATGGTTTATTAGTCAGAGGGTAGAAACTTTTTGGCTCCTTGTGTCATCCTCTAGCAGTACCCCTTCACTCATTCCAACAACATAATCTTCATTTGTCTGCCTGCTCAAGCAGTTTAATGGCTGAAGGGAAAAATGAAAACACAGAATCATGATTTGATAAAATCTAAAAATAGATTCAGACAGAGGCCAAGATTGTGAAATTGTCATTTGCTTATTAAAACATTACGGCAGTAAATTTAAAATAATGAAATTAGTTATAAATTATTTTCTATTTGGAGGTGGTGCATAATGTCAACACAAACCCAGGTGATAATGATCACACCAATTCTTTTGCCTGAGGGACAGATTGAGTTTCATCTCTGAGACATGAGTAATATCAAACCGCAGAGGAAGAAGTACTTGAATGTATTACAAGACATTACCTGGTTAAACTTTTACTCGTTTGTACAAGAGGAAGCCTTTACTAAACCTATCGGTTTTGTTTCAGATTTTTCACTTTATGTGCCGAGATAATAAACTGCAGATCTGCAGTCAAAAAATAAAAAATAAAAAAACAAGATAAATTCAGTCCAGACTCAAGACT